TCCGGTCGTGGGGCCTGAACTCTGGGCCTGGGCGCTGTCCCTCAGCTCTTCAGCTCAAGGCTAGCACTCTACCACTTGAGCCACAGCGCCACTTAGGCTTTTTTCTTTTTGCTTATGTGGTGCTGAGGAATAGAACCTAGGGCCTCATGCATGCAAGGCAAGTGCTCTACCACTGAACCACCTTCCCAGCCCCGACTCTTTTTCATGGAACTCTTTATTTCCAGTTAACCACCCCCAAACTGGAAGTGGAGCTATGGCTCAAGTGATAGAGTGCCAGCCTTGGGTGAAAACAATAAGGAAGAGCATGAGGCCCTGTGTTCAAGTCCCAGTACTGGAATGCACGTACACATACAAATCTAGGTGCTGGTGGATCATGCCTGTAGTCCTAGCTGCTCAGGATGCTTCAATCTGGGGATTACAGTTCAAAGCCAGTCCAGGCAGGAAAGTCCATGAGACTTATTTCCAATTAACCACCAAAAAGTCAAAAGTGAAACTGGCTCAAGTGGTAGAACACTGAGCAAAAAAGCTAAGGGACGCCAGGTGTTGGTGACTCATGCTTATAATCCTAGCTACTCAAGAGGCTGAGCTCTGAGGATGACAGTTCAAAGCCAGTACAGGCAGGAAAGTCCATGAGGCACTTGTCTCCAATTAACCACCAGAAAACCGGAAGTGGAGCTGTGGTTCAAAGTGGTGGAGCACTAGCCTTGAGCAGAAACACTCAGGGACAGTGCCTAGAACCTGTTCAAGCCAGACAGTATTCAAGCCCAGGACTGACACAAAACAGAAAGACAGGATTATGTACAGTCCCGAAGTGGTCACAGCCTGCTCCACTTGGTCTGCTCTTACTCAGAGGAGCCCAGGCTCCAAACGCTGGCCCCACGCTGCAGAACGTCAACTGTCAGTCAATATATTGGGTGTATTTTTATACATTTTTATTGTAAAAATACTGTACAGAGGGGTTACAGTTACACGAGCAAGGTAATGAGTACATTTCCTATCAAGCATTGTTAACCTCCTCCTTTGTTTTGTATTTTTTTTTTTAAGGCATAGTTTCCTATTTAGTCCAGGCTGCCCTTGAACTCTGATCTTTCTGCTTGTAGGCCACCCAGCCTGTGTTTCTCCAATCTCCTAGTGTGATGACTACGGCTTGGTCTCTACTGGTGCCTTTCTGCTCTCCCCCCACCCTTCCAGGCCCATCCCACTCTGGTGGCTTTCAAGCCTGTCTGCTGCTGGCTAAATTCCTCTCAGCATGAGAAGGAAGGTGTGACTGGCGCTGCAGGGGGTGGTGACAGGAAATGAGCTTGAGCTCTCCTGAGCCTCAATAGAAATGAGACAGACAAATAACACACATGAAGGACTGGCTTGATGCCAACTTGTACTTGGCGGTGAAGGATGCTGCTGGGCTAGGCAGAAGTGGCCCCTGAATCTGAAGGCCACCATGGGAGAAGACCAGGCTCATTCTGGGCCACCTTGGACCCCAGCATTGAGTTGTCATTTTTCTTTTTCGGTGCCAGTACTGGAGCTTGAACTCAGGGGCCTCCAGCTCTTAATCAGCTTTTTCACTCAAGGCTGGTGCTTTGCCACTTAAACCATACCTCCACTTCTGGCTTTTTGCTGGTTAACTGGAGATAAGAATTGGCAAAGACTTTTCTGCTCTGGCTTTATAAACTGTGATTCTCAGATCTCAGCCTGCTGAGTAGCTAGGATTTAGACATGAGCTGCCAGTTCCCAGCCTCATTTTCTTCTGAGGAAAAAAAAAAAAACAATGCAAACAGCTGGCATACCTGTAATCCTTGCTCCCTGGGAGACACAGGTAGGAGAATCTCAGTATAAAATGGGACTGGGTAAAAGTGTGAGACCCTGTCTGAAGTACAAACTCAATGCACGAGGACTGAGTGGCTCAATTGGTAGAGCTGCAAGGTTGAGATCCTGAGTTTTATTCCTAGTGTCCTCCCCCCACCAAAAAAAAGTACGTGAAGCGTCCTGTAGTTACCTTTGCGTCCTGCGTCACTGACAAGGTATGCTCTTATGTCTTGCCATGTGTGGCCAAGGCAGGGCAGGCCATATTTGCTCTTGGTTGCTGGCTCCTGGAGTTGGGGGTGGGGTGGGAATATTGCAGCTGCTTCTGCCATAGGCAGGCCCCTGGTGAGGGAGGTCCCAGGAGGTCCAGCTGTCACTGTGGCTTGACCCCCAGGCCTCCCCCAAGCTTTCCAAGTGTGGTTTCCTGCTCTTCTGGCTGCCAGAGTACCCCTGAATAGCAAGATTCAGAGAGTGGGTCTCATGACGAGAGCCTCAAATAGCCTGCTCCCTGAGAAGAAACTGGCCTGGCCACTAACCAGATGTTTGGGCTGCCAGCCTGCCTGGTGATAAATAATGTTGGTGACAGCCATCTCAGCACTGGCTTTGTGCCAGCACCGCAGTGGGGGCAGAGCTGAGCTGCCTCTCGCCCTCAGGTCCCCTGGGACTGTTCAGGCCAGAGCTGAAGTCACGAAGGGCAAGGGGCAGAGTAGGGTTGGAGTTGGGGTCCCTGACTCCGCCTGTCTTTGGGAATATTTTCTTGGGGTGTGTCTGGGCCTGAGGGGAAGACACTTGGTCCTGTGTTCGGGCTCTCTGTTCACAGGAGCAAGCTCTGTCTTTGGCTGAGGAAAGAATAAGTTAGGTGGAGATTAACAGGAGGCCTGATGTCAGAACAGGAGTCGGGAGCTGGGTTGTAGTTGTGGGTTAACAAAATCCTTTGTCCGCCGGGGGCTGGTGGCTCACACTTGTAATCCTAGCTACTCAGGAGGCTGTGATCTGAGGATCGCGGTTCAAAGCCAGCTGGGGCAGGGAAGTCTGTGAGACTCTTATCTCTAATTAACCACCTGAAAACTGGAAATGGAGAGGATGAGAAGGTGGCTCAGTGGTAGAGCGCTTGCCTCACATGCATGAGGCCCTAGGTTCGATTCCTCAGCACCACATAAACAGAAAAGGCCGGGAGTGGCGCTGTGGCTCAAGTGGTAGAGCACTAGCATTGAGCTGAAGAGCTGAGGGGAGTGCCCAGGCCCAGAGTTCAAGCCCCACGAGACCGACAAAAACCAAACAACAAAAACTGGAAGTGGAGTACTGCAGAGTGCTAGCCTTGAGCAAAAGAACTCAGGGACAGCACCCAGGCCCCAGGTTCAAACCCCACAACCGACCAAAAAAAAAGAATCCCTTGCAAGAGGGAAATGGATTGACCTAGAACAAATCATGTTAAGTGAGGTAAGCCAAACTCAGAGAGACAAATGGCACGTGTTTTCTCTAATATGCGGAAGGAGATGATAGATCACCAGGACTGTAGGCATTCGCACGCAGTGAGAGCAGAGAAGGACACTCTTGGGGAGGAGCACAAAGGCACAGTGCTTATGTGCCTCTGATCAGATATTTATCAAAGTGAACTTTGGGAAATGGAAATGAGGGTTTTTTCTTTGTTGTTTTTGTTTTATTTGTTTGTCTGTCTTTAGGAGGATAAGGGGGGGCACAGAAATGGAGGGCCAATGGGTGAACAATTACAGCAGTGGCGCTCACTGGACACTGTTGAAAATGAACAACTTGTGGATGGGGACAGGAGGGAAAAACTGGGAGAGAGCGAAGGAAGGGGTGACATTGTCTAGAAAGAAATATTACCTAACTTACATAATTGTAAGCCCTATATAAAATCACCTTTATAATAACAAAAATATTTTTTTTAAAGAATCCCTTGCCAATCTGGGGGAATGGAAGACCCCCAGGAGCCTGTCTTCCTGTACAAATGGGAGAGCAGCTGCGAATTTAGGACATGGACTGAGGCCACAGTTTCCCAGGCTGACCTTTCCCAGGCAGTTTATCATAAGGGATGTGACATTTTATGGCTTGGAAGAGAAAGGGCTGCCAGCCCAGGTAGGATTAACAAGGGGAAAAAGAAGATTACAATAGATTATACAGATTTAGATATCAAACTATGGAGATTGTAAGTCCCCAAGAAGATTAATACTGCCTTGTGATGTGAGAGACCCAGGTGCTGTCTCCTGGCTTTGCACTTTGCTTGCACCTGGTGGCTATAATAGATCTGCTTTAGCAATCACACCTGCTTTCCAACCAGAAGGAAGGGGGAAATGGGAAGGTTACCTTCTCTCCCTTTAAGAGCCCTCCCTTAAAAGTTGTGTGCAGCCCTTCTGCTTATATGCTTATTGGCCAGAGGTTGGTTACAGCGTGCTGCAAAGGAGTCTGGGAAATGTAGTCCTTATTCCAAGGGGCCAAGTGCTTAGCGCTGTGCCGGGAGAAAAGAATCTTTGACAGCAACCATACCTGCATCAAGAGCAGATTCATGACGGTTCAGAAGCTACAAGGCAGACCAGGAGCACTCAGTTCTGGACACGCCTGGTGTGTGAGTACAATGCTCAGTGCCAGGTGAGGTCATAACTGCTTGTCTGCAGCAGCTCTGGGGTCCCAGAGTCAGGATGTTAGGTTGGTGGTAGGATATGGTCATAGGCTACGGTTCTTACAAGCTCTATGCACTAGCTGTGGAACCACAGTAACCTGGCTGTAAAGACACTGGTGGTACACACTTGTAATCCTAGCTACTTAGGAGGCTGAGATCTGAACATCAAGGTTTGAAGCCATCTTGGGCAAAAAAAGCCACAAAATTCCATCTCCAAAAGAGCCAGCAAAAATGCTAGGTGGCTTAGTGGTAGAGTGCTTGCCTCCCATGCTTGAATCCCTGGGTTCAATTTCTCAGTACCACATAAACAGAAAAAGCCAGTAGTGCTGTGTCTCCATGTGGTAGAGAGCCTTGGGCAAAAGAAGAGACAGCACCCAAGCCCTGAGTTCAAGCTGGTCTGGAATAGCAAATAAGTAAGTAAATAAATAAATGAGTTTGCAAGGTAGATTAATTTGGCAAGATTCTTGGTAGCAGAGCCAGGATTTTTCATCTGACAGCCAGGCTTCTGCCGCTGTAGTTAAGCACTGAGCAAGTGCCTGGGGTCTGCAGCTGAAGCTGTGTTTCTGGCTTTTCCCTGGCACCATCTTAGCCCCCAGAGATGCTGTGTCTGGTCAACCCACCAGCACCTCTGACTCAGTCAGCAGGGACGGTGGCCAAGCAGTGACCTGGGCAAAACAGAGCACACTGAGGCTGGGAACAGGTGACCAAGAGATTTGAATTGCAAGTAGGATCAAATCTCTTTGATCTTGGCTCAGTTTGGAGACTCTGTCTTGGCTAAAGGGTAAGAAACAAATTTAGAAAAGACATGAAGTTTCACAAACTGTTAATAGGCAGAGTGTTAACAAACAAAGGATAACAGAATACAAGATTGAAAAACAGCAGTCAGGCATGAGTGGCTTAGGCCTTTAAGCTACTCAGGAGACTGAATCCTGAAGACTGTGGTTCAAAACCAGTCCCAGCACAAAAGTCTAGGAGACTTCAACTAACCAACATAAAGCCAGAGGTAAAGCTGTGGCTCAAGTAGTAGAGTACCAGCCTTGAGCAAAATAGATAAAGGTCAGGCATCATTGCCTTACGCCTGTAATCCTAGCTACTCAGGGAGCTGAGATCTGAGGATCTCAGTTCAAAGCTAGCCTGGGCAGGAAATTTACAGGCATGAGCTCTACCAGTGCCTAGCAGATTTACCATTATAATGAAGTCTTCGATCCATTTTCAGATAATTTTTGACTGTGGTGTGAGGAAGAGGTAAATGAAGCTTATCTATTATCCCAGCACTGTGGAAAAGATGAATCTCTTCCCCCATCCCGTTCTTAGAGCTTTTGCTAAAAACACAGTGGCTGTAAAAATGAGCGTGAATTACCAGTTAGCTGAGCATTCTATCCTATAATCTCACTGAACTGGGTCTTGACTATCTTTGCAAGCCTGTGCTTATCAGAGCTTCCTCTTTCCATCCAGCAGTCACAGTACTTCCTGGGGGAGGAAGATGCACAGCAGTTTAAGTAACCAGCCTCCCGGGTGTACAGCTAGTGCTGTTAGCAGTTTTTAGGCTGCGGAGCACATCCTTGGAGGTGCTTGTTTATTCCAGGAAAGTGCACTGAGCGCCTTCTCTGCCAGGCACTTCCTGAACTACCCAGTGAGCAACAGTAAAAGCCAAACAGATCAATTTCAGCCTGGTAGAATTATTGGGAAGAAAATGAACAAGAGGGCTGGGAAGGTGGCTCAGTGGTAGAGCGCTTGCCTTGCATGCCTGAGGCCCTGGGTTCAATTCCTCAGCACCACATAAGCAAAAAGAAAAAAGCC